AAATTCGAATTTTACGGGTGCGATTTCAAGGTAGGTTATTACTGTCTCTTATACACATCTAGATGTGTATAAGAGACAAATATATATATATATATATATATATACATATATATACATATATATATATAAAGTATACATATAAGTTATATATTATATAATATATAAATTATATATATATATAAGTTTTTTTTATTATGATTTCATTTAGTATTTATTCATTTCTTTCTTTGTTCTTTCTTCAAACGTAACGTAGGCCTAACATCATAAACATTTCATTACATGTTAATAAACATTACAAATCAATATTAACATATTACAATTTATTAACAGAAATAAAGGAAAGGGTGATTTTCTGAAGCACAGCTTATCACTCTTTTTATTATTATTATTTTATAGAATTCAAGCTTCATGGTTTCCATGCAATCGCTACACGCTATCACCGATAGTTTTCGTATGGGGTGCCATACGCAGCAAAAGTCCATGTTAAATTCAAAAATTAAATTGCAAAATTCAATATCTAATTTATCAAAACGTAGGCGTAAATTTGAACTACGTTTTAAGATATTAGAACTTTATTTTGGGAAACTAGATCTACATTTTGAGAAAAATCGGGGGCTTCCCGATTGCGTCGGGTACTGCTACGCAGTACAACGATTGTACTGAAAGCACTATCGGCAGTGTAGCGGTTTTAAGGGAACCAGGCTTCATAAACTGGACCACACGCTTCTATCTTAGAGGATCAAATGTTATACCGCCCTCATGGTTACTTCAGTCTCATACTGTACTTATGAATTAAATGTTAACACCAAACAGCCTAAGTATTGAGATAGAACGCCGAGAGAGGATGGAAAGTAGGCAGTACATTCGCCGCCCACACCCTGTGTTAATGGCTGTGATTCTGTTTTTATCAATTCTGGAAGCGGTAAGTTACCACACCAGTCTACATAGTTATTTCGATCTTAATGTTTGTAAAGACAGAGTACAACACTGCCATTCGAAATTCTGGGTGTGGGCCTTTATAGACCGTTTTTATCGTAGTATGCTTAAGTTATGGCTAAGCAATGACTGGTTGACTGCTTCTATTGTCCATCGGACTACGTACAAATGGGATAGGAACAATGGATCCGTACCTCTCTCCATTGTATTCTAAATTTAGTCACGGTCAGTTTCTTTTTCCGATTGTTTGCTTCACTATTTCATTCATATTTATGCTTTTGACCGGACCCCGAAAAATCAACATTATTACCAAACAATCAAGTGAGCCTGAACAAACATGTCAAAAAAAGAACACAGTAAAGTAAATAATCCTAGCTCAAAAACTTTATTCCAACACAGTGCCGTATAATTTATAAATCAATATGTATATAAATCACATGAAAGTGCTTTCTATTACATAGTAGCAAAGTATAAGATGGTTGTGTGGTCTAATAAAATGACGGAGTCCGATGTCCCAGACCAGGGGCGCTTTCACCGACGAGAGCGAACGGTGGGCGTGGACGGGCAACGCTCAAAATCTTTTGGAATGGTCAATTATGCTGTTTACGTCAGTGTAATTCCCACTCTAAATTTCCCTATAAAATATAGGCCTACATAAAAAAGCTAAATGAGAACAATGGTCAGGTTGTATTCTATTCGTTTTTTTAACAAAACTAAGATTTGTATTTTAATTTGGTTTTTCTTGACTTAGATGTTAGCATTTACGCCAGAGAATGTTCCTTATTCTTCGCTAGGCTCTTTCGGTCCGTTGTTCGCACGTCTCGTGTACTATCACTCAGCATTTTTGCAAAATATGTGAGTATGGTCATTTTGTGGTACTTTATTCCACTTACAAAAACCGAAAGTATCGCGACATGCACGCCATCGTGTCGGGATTCAATATTTCGACATTAATTATGTTATCATCAGGAATGAACAATTATCCATATTTGCAAGCTTTGATATATATATATATATATATATTGAAGGAAGTTTGACGTTAACACTGCTGAATAAATATAGGCCTAATATAAATCATCAAAGGTACATATACAGTGTACAATGTATGTGCCTTTGATGATTTATATTAGGCCATATATATGTATGTATATATGTATGTATGTATATATATGTATATGTATATATGTATATGTATATATATGTATATATATGTATATGTATATATACTCTCTTAATGTAAAAGAGTGAATTTTCACTCGAAAAGAGTGCCGACAGGGATCACTCCAATTTTACTCTTTTTCGAGTTAAAATTCACTCTTAAATGGGGGAATATTATTCTTAAAATAGCAAAAAATTACTAAAATTCACAGATAATTATGATGCGGAAACGTTGAGTTAGACAGAACACAATATCCTGAATAAATTATATTGTGTTCTACTGTCTAACTCAACGTTTCCGCATCATAATATTTAATGCAACAAACCTCGCTGTAAAGTATGCAAGCACCTCGTCACCGACAGCGTTGTTAGGCTCCCTCACACCTCTTCTTCTATCAATCCCCCTCCCCTCACCTGTGACTTTTCGAACGTTATATATCTCCTCATGTTCAATATCTGTCATCATGGCTCTTATATAGGCGAAACTGGAACTAAATTTAGACTCCGGTTTAATAACCACAAACAGTCCGTCCGTAACAATAGCAAGGGATTCCCTGTCGCTGAACATTTTAACTCCCATGGCCACTCCATTGATAACATCCGATGTGTTCTGTTAGCCAACAATTTTCCATCCCTTGACCATAGAAGACGCTCAGAGCTCAAATTCATCATCAAATTCAATACTCACATTTTAGGCCTTAATCGTGACATGGGTATTCTGAGCTATTCACACACTTGATTTTTTTTTATTTATTTTTTTTTTTTTGTGCTATATTTTATTTTTACTTCTGCATCTCTT